CTATTAAGTGGCACCTCACTCTCCCGAAAAATATTTCAATAATATCAATACATCAATCATATAATACTTAACCTAATATTCATTACTAGTATAATCAAAAGCAACTGTGCAACATGTAAAAATTCTCAATTATTATTTTTTAAAAACCCAAAGCTATAATAAAAAGCTATAATTAAAAAAAATTGCAGACTTTCAATTTTCAATCTGGAATGTAATGAGCTTGGCATCTTTCCAACAGGAAAAATATTGAACAAACTGAAAATCAACAACTCTTCTTAGATCCAGCAGAGAACTGAAGTCATAGGAAAAACTGCTGCCCAAAAATTGAAGAGATGAGTGGACACTGAGACACACAATTTGCTGGAGGAAATCAGAAACCTCTGTATGAGTTAGAAAATCTAAACTGTAATTGATGACTTGCTGGAAGCTCAGGGTCAACAAGTTTGAGAGTTAAAAATTCCAGGCCAGGCGTGTTGCCTCATGCCTGTAATCCTAGCCTTTGGGAGGCTGGGGCGGGCGGATCACAAGGTCAGGAGTTCAAGACCAGCCTGGTCAATATGGTGAAACCCTGTCTCTACTAAAAATACAAAAATTAGCCAGACATGGTGGCGTGAACCTGTAGTCCCAGCTACTCAGGGGGCTGAGGCAAAAGAACCGCTTGAACCCAGGAGGCAGAGGTTCCAGTGAGCTGAGATTGTGCCACTGCACTCCAGCATGGGCAACAAAACTGGACTCCATCTCAAAAAAAAAAAACATTCCAGAAAGACCCAGTCATAGGAGGACTGCCCTGCCACCCCAGTTTTATCTCCAGCACACTACCAGGATTTCACAGTAAAAAGAGAAAAGTCCCCTTACATAACCTAAAGGAAGAAGAAAAGCAGCCACTTGGAAATATGCTCAGAACGTTGTGTTCTTTGTAACAGGCCTGACTCAAGGGAAACTATTTTAGCAGAGCCTAACTGACGGGAGTACTGCTGTCACCTAACTGACCTAAAGGAAGGTAAATATCCAACTCCAGCCCCCTCCAGCATTCCATGTGGGAGGACGTGGACTCCGGCTTCCTCTAGCTATCCTGTCTAACTTAAAGGGCAGGGGAGACTGAAAAGCACTTGTGAATGTCACAGCCCAAGGCGCAGGCTTACTAAAAGACTTAGATCTAGTCACAAGACTATTGAACACGTCCCTTTACTCCCACATCTAACTACCTAGGGCTCCTGTACACTAACAGAGAAATTCAACAGAAAGAACTACATATCTCAGATTATATTTAGGAAGAATTCACTAGGGTAACCCACAGACAAGAGAAGAGACAAAACCAGGACACTGAAGGAAATTATAGCCTCTGACATGTATAGTGACAGCAAACACAGCCTAACTTCTTTCCAGATAAACATAAAACCTCACGCGAAAGGCCTACTTATCTCAGTTCCTTTTATCCAATACTTTATGTCCAGCATTCACCAAACAATTACAAGACAGGCTAAAAGACTGAAACACAGTTTGGAAAGATTAAATAAGCATCAGAAGTAGTCTCAGATAAGGCAGAGATGTTAGAATTATCAGAACAGGAATTTAAAATAATTATAATTAAGGCTAGTGTGGTGGCTCATGCCTGTAATCCCAGCACTTTGGGAGGCCAAGGTGGGAGAATCATCTGAGGTCAGGAGTTTGAGACTAGTCTGACCAACATGGTGAAACCCCGTCTCTACTAAAAAAAAAAAAAAAAAAAAAAATTAAAAAAAAAAAAAAAAAAAAAAAAAAAAAAAAAAAAGCCAGGCATGGTGGTGCATGCCTGCAGTCCCAGCTACTCAGGAGGCTAAGGCAGGAGAATCACTTGAACCCAGGAGGTAGAAGTTGCAGTGAGTCGAGATTGTGCCACTGCACTCAAGCCTGGAAGACAGGGCAAGACTCTCTCTCAAAATAAATAAATTAATAAATACATACATACATACAAACAATAATTATGATTACTATACAAAGGTCTCTAATAGAAAAAGTAGACTAAATGCAACAACAGCAGGGTAATGTAAGCAGAGAGATGGAAACTCTATAAAGAAAATGAAAAGAAAATGCTCAAAATAAAAAGATATTAACAGACATAAAGAATGCCTTTGATAGGCTCATCAGTAGATTGGACATAGCTAAGGAATGAATTAATACACTTTAATAACTGTCAATAAAAATTTCCAAAAAAGAAAAGCAATAAAGAAAAAAACTGAAGACAGAAAAATTGTACAAGAACTTTGGTACAATTATAAATGATGTAATAAACAAATATAAATATGTAAATATGTATGTAACAGGAACACAAAAAAAAAGGAAAGAAAGGAACAGAGAAATATTTCCATCAATAATGACTGAAAAATTTGCTGAGTTAATGACAGGCACCAAACTACAGATTTAGGAAGCTCACAGAACGCTGAACAGGATAAATACCAAAACCAATACACTGAGGAATATCATATTCACACCGCAGAAAATCAAAGACAAAGAGAAAAATCTGAAAATAAGCCAGAGTAGGCAAACAAACAAAACCCAAAAATCAGGCCGGGCACGGTGGCTCATGCCTGTAATCTCAGCACTTTGGGAGGCCAAGGTGGGTGGATCACTTGAGATCAGAAGTTCAAGACCACCCTAGCCAACATGGTGAAACACTGTCTCTACTAAAAATACCAAAATTAGCCGGGCTTGGTGGCAGGGACCTGTAATCCTAACTACTCGGGAGGTTAAGGTATGAGAATTGCTTGAATCCAGGAGGCGGAGGTTGCAGCGAGTGAGATCTCCTCCAGCCTGTGCGATACAGCAAGACTCAGTCTCAAATTGGAAAAAACAAAAAAATCAAACAAACAAAAAAACCAAAACCTTACCTATAGAGAAGCAGGGATAAGAATTACCTGTTACTACTTTTTAGAAGGCACTCAAGCAGAAAGAGAATAAAATGAATGAAATATTTAAAGCGTTAAAAGAAAAAATAAATCCACCAACCTAGAATTCTGGATTCAGCAAGATTAACCTTCAAAAGACAAAGAAAAATATTTTCCTAAACAAACAAGAATTGAAGGAATTTATTGCTAGCAGATATGCCTTGCAAAAAATGTTAAAAAAGTTCTTCAGAAAGGAAGAAAGATGGTAACGTCAGAAACTGCCATCTACATAAAGGAAAAAAAAGAGCATTAGAGAAGGAATAAGTGGATATAAAATATTTTCTTATTGATTTATTTGACAGATGACACTTTGTGTTCAACATCATGATTGCAATAGTGTTGACAGTAATTGTAGTTTATGGATAACTAAATTAATGACAGAAATGTTATAAAGGATGAGAGAGGTCTTGGGAATTCTGTTAAAAGGAATTTATACAATTCAAAAAGTGGCATAGGGTTACTTGAAAGTAAACTTAGGTTAGTTACAGATGTGTATTGCAAACTCTAAGGCAACCAGTAAAGAAAAAAAAAAAAAAAAGAAGAAGTACAATTGATCAACTGTTATGCTAAGACAGGAGAAAAATGCAATCATACAAAAATTAGCTGGCTGTGGCAGCTCACGCCTGCAGTCCCAGCTACTAGGGAGGCTGAGGCACGAGAACTGATTGAACCCAGGGAGCAGAGGTTGCAGTGAGCCAAGATGGCATCACTGTACTCCAGCCTACAGGACTGAGAAAGCCCCTGTCTCCAAAAATAAAAAATACAATGCAATCATAGAAAATGCTCAGTCAAAGCCACAGAAGGGACAGGTGCAGAGGCTCACACCTGGTAAGCCCAGCATTTTGGAAGGCTAAGGTGGGAAGATCACTTGAGGCCAGGAGTTCAACACCAGCATGGGTAACATAGTGAGCCCTCATCTTTGCAAAAAAAAAAAAAAAAAAAATCACAAATATTAGCCAGGCATAGTGGTGTATGTCTGTAGTATAGTCCTAGCTACTCAGTGAAGGAGGAGGTGGGAAGACTGCTTGAGCCCAGGAGTTCTAGGCTATAGTAAGCTTTGATTATGTCACTGCCTAGGTAACAGGGCAAGACTCTATCTCACAAAAAAAAAAAAAAAAAGCTAGAGAAGGCAGCAAGAGTGGAATTTTTTTTAAAGAAACAAAAATAAAGACAATGAAAATAATAGTAACAAATATGTTAGATATTGATCCAATTATAATAATAATCTCTTTAAATGTGATGGTCTGAATATACCAACTAAAAGATAGAGACTGTCAGAGTGGTTAAAAAAAGAACAACAACAAGCTATATGTTGTCTATAAGAAGCCTACAATAGCCAGGCCAGGTGGCTTACATCTGTAATTCCAGTTACTTCATGGTGGGAGGAACCCTTGAGCATAGGAGTTCAAGACCAGCCTAAGCAACATAGTAAGACCCCCATCTCTAAACAACAACAACAACAAAAAACTCAGAACAAAAAAGAAGCCAACTATAAATACAAAGACACAGATAGATTAAAAATAAATGAATAGTGGCTCACGCTTGGTGGCTCCCGCCTGTAATCGCAGCACTTTGGGAGGCTGAGACGGGTGGATCACGAGGTCAGGAGTTCAAGACCAGCCTGGTCATCATAGTGAAACCCTGTCTCTACTAAAAATACAAAAATTAGCCGGTGTGGTGGCATGCACCTGTAATCCCAGCTACTCAGGAGGCCGAGGCAGGAGAATCACCTGAACCCAGGAGGCAGAGGTTGCAGTGAGTGGAGACCACCACTGCACTCTAGCCTGGGTGACAGAGCGAGACTCTGTCTCAATGAATAAATAAATAAATGAAGAAAGACATGTCATGTTAACACTAATCAACAGAAAGCTGGAGTAGCCATATTAATTTTAGACAAAGCAGATTTCAAAGCAATAAAAATGATCAGGGATAAAGAGGTACATGACATAACGATAAAGAGGTCAATTCATCAAGAAGATGTAATAAGTCTTAATGTATATGTGCCTAACAAAAGGGCATCAAAATGTATAAGGTAAAGGAAAATAGATGAAGCTACTATTACAGTGGGAAATGTCAATATCTTCTGTCAGAAATTATAAAAATCAGAAAGGACACAATTGAAATGTACAGCAGCATCAACCAAGTGGATCTAATTGACATTTATAGACTGCTTTATTCAAGAACAGCAGTACATACATTTTCTTCAAGTTCACCCAGAACATTCACCAAGATAGACCACATTGTACAAGCCTTAAGAAATGTAAAAGAACAGGAAAGTATGCTGTCAGACAACAATGGAATTAAACTAGAAATCAATAACAGAATGACAGCTGGGAAACTCCCCAAATACTTGATGATTACACAACACCCTTCTAAATGACACATGAATCAAAGAGGTATCAAGAGAAATTTAGAAATATTTTCAACTAAGTAAAAATTAAAATATAACTTATAAAAAGCTATATATTTATTAAAAGGATGCAGTAAATGGAGTGCAAAAAAATCAGAAACGAAGAAAAATTTCAAATAAATAATCTAAGATTCTACCTTAGAAGTTGGAAAACCAATAGCAAATTAATTCTAGAGCAAGCAGAAAATATATATAACAAAAATTAGAGTGAAAATCAATGAAATTAAAAATAGAAAATCAATAGAGAAAAACAAAATCAAAAATTGGGTCTTTGAAAAGATGAGTAAAATTGATGACTCTATATAGATTAGCTAAGAAAAAAAGAGAAGATACTAAGTAGATTCCATCGTATAGTAAGATCAGAAGTGAAAATGGGGCCATCACTACTGATCTCATGAACATTAAAAGGATAATGAAGAAATGTTTAAAAAACAGGGTAACAAAGAAATACTATGAACAACTCTATGATCATGAATTTAGTCACCTAGATGAAACGAACCAATTCTTTGAAAGACACAATCCATGAAAACTCACAAAGGGAAGAACAGATAATTTGAATAAACCTATATTTATCAAGAAAAGTAAATCAATGTTAGAAACCTTTCAAAACAGAAAGCACCAGAACCAGATAAGTTCAGTGGTGAATTGTACCAAATACTTAAGAAAGAAATTATACCAATTGTCTACAGTATCTTTCATGAAATGCAAGAGGAAGTATTTCCTAACTCATTTTATGAGGCCAGAATTAACCTAATACCCAAACCAAGTGAAAACATTACAGAAGTGGAAAATTACAGGTCAATATCGCTAATGAACAGAGATGCAAAAATCCTCAACAAAATACTGGCAAATCAAATCCAACAATGTAAAAAAGAATTATATACCAGGATAAAGTAAGATTTATTCTAACTATACAACATTGGTTTGACATTTGAGCATCAGTTAATGTAATCCATCACATCAACAATGTAGAAGAAAAATCATAATTAAACAGTAGACGTAGAAAAAGCATTTGACAAAATGCAGCAGCCATCTATGATAAACACAGATGGTCCCTGACTTCCAATGGTTTGACAAACGATATTTTTGACTTTATTATGCTGCAAAAGCAATATGCATTCAGTAGAAACCATAATTCAAGTTTCAAGTTTTGATCTTTTCCCAAGCTAGCAATATGCAGTGTAATATTCTCTCATGCTGCTGGGCAGCAGTGGCAGTGAGCTATAGCTCCCATTTAGCCATGCAAACACAGAGGTAAACAACCAATATTCTATAGTATACTAAATGTATTTTCAACTTACAATGAGTTTATCAGGACGCAATCCCATTGTAAGTTAAGGAGCATCTGTACTCTCGGTAACTAGGAATAGAGGGAAACATTCTCAACTTGATAAAGAACATCTACAAATAACCCACAGCTAACATACTTTACGGCAAGAAAGTAAGTTTCCCACCAAGATCAGGAACAAGGCAAAGATGGCTCCTCTCACAACCATTCAACATCATTCCAAAAGTCTTACTTAGCTAATGCAATAAGACAATTAAAAAAACAAAATCTGGCCGGGCACATTTGCAAAAGTCTGTAATCTCAACACCTTGGGAGGCCCAGGCAGGAGGACTGTTTGAGGCCAGGAGTTCAAGACCAGCCTGGGAAACATAATGAGACCTTAACTCTACAAAAAAATAATAATAATAAAGAAATAGCCGAGCTCAGTGGTGTGCACCTGTGGTCCCAGCTGCTAGGGAGGCTGGGGTAGGGGGATTGTTTGAGCCCAGGATGTCAACGCTACAGTGAGCCATGATCATGCCACTGCATTCCAGCCTGTAAAACAGAGTAAGACCCTATCTCTATTAAAGATTAACTTGTTGGAAACAGATGCTCTGTGCCACAAAGAAAAATCAGCACTGAGACAAAGGACCTCTCAGCAAGACAAGCTTTACTTCCGGCAGAAAGGGTGCTTGAAGGACATTAATGACATTAGTAAACTGCACACAGTTGAGCGTATAACCTTCTAGTGTCACAAGCTATATGTGATGCATTTGGTTTCTTGATCATTACTATCAGTTCCCTATGAACCATTCTTATTCAAAGTCAAAGGAAGAGCCCTAATACTGACAGTGGAGAAGATTTGGTCTACTAGTTTGGAATCCCTGATTGTTGTACCACTGCTCCAATAGGTTGACAAATGTGGGAGAATGATTGGTATTTGCATTCCAAAGCATTTGCCATTTGCTGGGCTACAGCCAATGGGGTAGGAAGAAAAAATTCTGAAATATGAGAGCATATCATGAAATCATTAGACATACTAGTGAACTACTGGGAAATCAAGCAGTCAGAAATGGTACAATCAAGAGTATCATTCCTAAGTCTGACAAGCTCTTGTAACACATCAGTATCTCAATCATGTAAGAATAACAATGGTCAATGTATTGCTACAAACATGAAGATTAATAGTAGCAAATTTTTATACCATGTATAATTAATATAAGCTTTAATTTATTTAGTTTTAAATTCTTAATGAGAAGCTTACCTTGCAGAACTTAACTTCCGCCTCTAAATGATGAATATATTGAGACTGGTCATTAATGATAGGAATAAGGTTGGACATAGTAGGCATAATGGTTTCCTCATGTTCTGATGACCCCTATGGCAAAATAAACAAACAATTTTTAAAAAGCCAAATTAAGCATGTTTGGATTTAGCAAAGAATCGGTTGTTACCTTCTTCTTACTCAATTTTGCACTGATGTGATATAAACATAGAATCAATCACAATGTAGCTTATAATATTGATATAGCTTGGATGTTTAGCCCCCACAAACCTCATGTTGAAATGTAGCCCCCCACAACATTGGAGGAGGTGCCTGGTGGGAGGTGTTTAGGTCATGATGAATGAATGAATGAATACCTTGTTGCTGGTGCTATCCTCATGATAATGAGTTCCTGTTCTGAGTTTTGGTGAGATCTAATGTGGCACCTCTCTCCACTTCTTGCTCCTGGCTTTCACCACATGAAATGCCTGCTCCGCTTCACCTTCCACCATGACTGAAAGTTTCCTGAGACCCTCCCCAGAATGTGATGCCAGTACCACACTTCCTATACAGCCTGCAGAATGATGAGCTGACTAAACCTCTTTTTTAAATAAATTACCCAGCCTCAGGTATTTATTTATAGCAACATGAAAATGGACTAATACAAATACTTGCTTCTCTAGCCTATAAATTCCACAAATACACAAGATTCGTGGATGTGAATATCATCTTTTTTTAAAGATGCATGGTGAAAGTGGTTATAAAAAACACACAGAGTGAATGGAAAAATGCTGGGGTAGTAGTAGTATAACTGGCTTGGAATGAACTGAGTATTTTAACAAACTGGAAAAGTGACATTCCATTCAGTAACACCGAGATACAAGGGACAACGCTCTCCAAGAAACTGCCATGGAAGAGGATTTGCTAGCTAAAACTGCAGCAGCTCCCTGAAGGAGAGATTCTTTAAGAGGTGTCTGATGCCAAGCCTGTGTCAATGAGATAAAATTCCATCTCAAAAAGGAAACATTAGCAAATTGTAGTTTTTGATTTTTGACTCTAGTATTGAACACAATTCAAGTGTATGCTGTTCTGGAGCATAGAACATCTAAGAGTAGAGCCCTAAAGTAGAGATACACTGCACTGAGGGGTCCAACGAAGAGATTTCAAAAAGAAACACTAATGCTGCTTTAGCTCTGTAGCATTCCTGGAACTGACTGTTAACGTATATCTTTCTTACCTTATCGTAAAATGACTGTGACATAGTTTGTAAAATCATATACCAATCACATGACTTTTTTTTAAGGATAAGGAAATCAGGAAAAGGGAAAAGAAGGGTCGACCAGTTAAACAAACCCAGAGGTAAGCTTGAAATGGGACACCATGTCTGTTTCTCAGCCATTCTCTTTCTCAGCACAGCAGAAACTTTAAATGATAATCGGGTACCAGCTATCACGGCAGAATAAAATAGAACAGAGCTTTACTTTTTGGTATATTTAAGAAATTTAAAAACGGAAATAACTCTAATTAAATGAATTGTCAGTCATGAGTAGAAATCAAACAATTATAATCACCCTACATTAATAGAAATAGGTTCAGAGGTAGGCAAATATAAATTACTACGGTGACATGGTAAAAAGCCCCATAAAACTGCATACCTCAACAATACCTCAGCTTTCTGTTGAAACTGCTCTCTATAACCCAAATGTGAATAAGTAATTAAGGACTATAATCACCACCCTACCCAGACAATGTGCAAACAAATGCTAATCTTGACTTTTGTGAACCACTTAAGTAACAACCAGAATGTCAAAAAGTCCCCTGGCCCTTGGAATGTCCGGAGCCCCTCACCCTATCTTCGCCCAGGAATCCACTGGAATGTCCAGAACCCCCTCACCCTCATCTCCGCCCAGGAGGTGATTTACAGAATCCACTAGCCCTCAGAACGTCTGAAGCCTCACCCCCACCCCTGCCCCTCACCCTCACTCCCGAGGTGGTTTACGGGTATAAAAGGTCTTGACACCCTCCTTTCGGGGCGACGGGTTGGAGAGACACGAGTCCTCTGTGGCCGCCAGCAATAAAGACCCTGCAGTTTGGCATACTTTTGTCTTGGTGTTGGCTTTCTATGCTCAAGCCAGTACAACAGTACTATGAGTAAACAGGAGGAAGTCAATGTGAAAAACAAAAAGCTCAAGCTAAAACTGTATGAAATATGTTCACATGAAATCATTTGTGTATGCTTTGAAGGGGTTTAGTTTGGATATCTGCATTTTAAGATAATAAGTAATACGTTTTTTTCCCATCTCAACAGTGCCTCAGTTTTACTCTCAATATATCAGCATATTTCTAATATGTTATAGTGGCTACAAAAGTGCATTCTAAGGGTACAATCTTAAAAAGCTATTACTATTATGGTTTATAATTATTACGTGTAGACTGCACACATTTAGAGTCTAAGTTCCATTCTTTTACATAGCTCTATATAAATAGACTTGTGTATTTTAAAGTGTACTTTATATGCACTAAGCTCATTCTATTAATGAAGGTCTTCCTGCCTCTCTGGATTCAATAAGCCCCATAGTATCACTGCTCAGATTTTAAAAAGCTAATGAGCATGTCTGAGCATTTGACAGATAAAGCAACTTCATCTAGTAGACTTAAAAGCATTCCACCAGTTGTGTGCTTAAGAGCATCTTAGAAACCAGATGTCAACAGTAATAAATTCATTAAATAATGTTTTATTAAAATCATAATCTATATCTATAAATATTGAATATGCATATGAGGTACATTTCTCTAAAGTGGGAATTAAGCTTAAAAGTATGTGTCAGCCTGGAATGAAGTGTTAATACGGGAGTGAAATTCTGACATTTCAGTGAAGAAATGAAGGTGACATGTCTCCATACTTTTGAGCTTATAGGCATTGTATTCAACCATAAAACACATTGAAAATGCAAGGTGTGGCTGGGCGCCATGGCTCACACCTGTAATCCCAGCACTTTGGGAGGCTGAGGTGGGTGGATTACCTAAGTCAGGAGTTCAAGACCAGCCTAGCCAATATGGTGAAACGCTGTCTCTATTAAAAATACAAAAAATTAGCCTCATGTGGTAGTGCATGCCTGTAATCCCAGCTACTAGGGAGGCTGAGGCAGGAGAATTGCTTGAACCTGGGAGGCAGAGGTTGTAGTGAGCTGAGATCATGCCACAGCACTCCAGCCTGAGCAACAGGGTGAGACTCCATCTCAAAGAAATAATTAAAAATAAAATGTATTATTTTGAAATTTGAAAATTAAAAAAAATATTACAACAGAGAGCTACAATTAAAATTAAGTAACTTCTAAAAATGATCGAAGATAGACATGACCCTCTAAAACAGAAATCACTAAAACCATTACTTTACCTTTTACATATATTCTCCTTAAACTTACATAATTTATATTAATTTATTACATATTATATATTTATATTACATATTTTGCCAACAGTTGCAAAATAAATTCTTCAAACTATTCCCTTGCTCCCATTTTCCAAGTAAATGATAAATTTAAAATATCAAGATTTGCTCTGCCATGGAAATCTATTTTTTCAGCCAAAATAATCAGAGGGAAGAGAATTACTTTTAATGTTTTTCACTATTAGCATGCCCTGATTAAATTTTTTCTGCAACATGTACTACAAAATGACACAGTACGGCAAAACAAAGGAATGCTGGCCGGGCGCGGTGGCTCACGCCTGTAATCCCAGCACTTTGGGAGGCCAAGGCGTGTGGATAACCTGAGGTGGGGAGTTTCAGATGAGCCTGACCAACATGGAGAAACCCTGTCTCTACTAAAAATACAAAACATTAGCCGGGTGTGGTGGCATGTGCCTGTAATTCCAGCTACTCAGGAGGCTGAGATGGGAGTAGCGCTTGAACCCCGGAGGCAGAGGTTGCGGTGAGCCAAGATCACGCCATTGCACTCCAGTCTGGGCAACAAGAGCAAAATTCCATCTCAAAAACAAACAAACAAACAAAGGAATCCTTTGTCAAGTTGGAAAAGTTGATACTTACCAAAGGGGACATTTTTCTTCTTCTTGACGGAGACACTTCACTTTCCTTATCTGCTTGTTGGCGCAACAAATCTTTGAGCTGATTAACTATAAAGCAAAAGCAGGGGGTTTATTAATCTTATTTGAGATGCATGGTTTGTTACCACCCATCCACCCTTCGAACTAATAAAAATTGCTGAAATATATATTACGCATCAAGAACTCTGCTATCAACTGGGGATACAAAGACCAACATGAAAAAAAAAGAATTTCTACCCCCTAAGAGCTAAGACTCTAGCAAGCCAGAGAGAGACACTAATAGATATACAATAAGTTTGTATGTAGACCTAGAGCTATGCACAGTGCTACAAGAAGAGGAAGCACCTAACTGTGCTTGTTTTCACAGAGGAGACAACACTGCAAGGATGAGCAGGAAGGAGTTCACCAAGCAGAAAAGGATGAGAACAATTCCAGTCAGAAGGCACTGCACATGTCAAAGCATAAAAGCACAGCGAGGAGGTTATTATAACTAGAACATGAGTTGTGAGACGGATGGTTAGCATGAGAAGTATACCAAGATGAGCTGAAAAGGCAGGTTGGAGCTATCTTAGGAAAACACTGTTATTTTATAACTAGAATTTTGGACTTTAGCCTATAGGCATTGGGAAGTCAAAGGAAAAAAGATTAAGCAAGAGAATTAAATTATCTGATTTGTGTTTTGGAATAACATCATAGCAGCAGAACGAAGAATGAATGGAGTTATTATTTCGCACAGTTTCAAAAATTCACTATGCATCATTCAGGCTAGGACTGACATTCATACTCACCAGCATGGCTCTGCTGCAATTCGAGCCAAGCTGTCCTGGCATCCTCATTTCCTGCACTGGTGCTAAAAGAAAAATGTGGTGCATCTTCTCCAATAGTGACATCACCTTCTCTCAGGGCACATTTCAGTTGGTGAATGCTTCGACTGGCACGTTCTGCAATAACAACCTGATGAAAGTTAGGACCAGTGAAATCTGGGTGACCAAAAGGACACCTGCTCGAGAAGGCAGTTTTTAAAGGTGAAATCATTATTTCTGGTGCTTTCTGGAAAAAAGCAGAGTTCTGTTTCTAGCTTGTTAAGGGATGTGCCAGGGAAGGTGAGAGAAGATTAAGTTCATGGTTTAGAGGTAGGAGTTGATGATCTCTAAGTGGCTACTACTGTGGCAGTTGACATTCACTAGCATCAACAGCAAGGAGGATTAAATGACAGAACTCTTCCCGCCAGCTCCCACTAAACAATAACTTGGTAACGGAAGTGCTCTCCTTCCCATCATGCCTGACTTTTCCACCACACCAGGAGACACAGGGGGATGGAAGAGCAGTGGTGAGGTGGGAAGAGTCAGCAAGAGGGACTGCGTCACACTAAGGTCCAACCTAGGGAAGCCTCATTGTCCCTGGGGACAGGAAATCCCTCCCCCACCAAGAGACATCCACCTGTCTGGCCTAGTTTTGATCAAAATTTGCACAGCTGAAGGGCGTATAGTGGCAGCCCCATGTAGCACAGCTCTTCCCATATACTGCCAGCTAATCACACCTCATAGATTCTTGGTTAGTGCAACTGACTATGCCTAGAACACACACAAACTATCTAAAGTGAAGTATTTTAAGGTATATTACTGTGATAGTTCATCTCTAAAAATAGCTCCAAGGAACCCAGCCTCATTCCCTTGTTCTCTTCTAATCTGAAACTGACTGGGCCTGTAACCTACATTAACCAATAGAATGCAATAAAAGTTACACCATGTCAGACCCAAGCCTCTTCTTTAAAAGCACTGGCAGCTTTTGCTTCCTCTTATAATGCTTGCTTTTGGGAACCCTAAGACACTATGTAAGATGTCCGGCTACCCTGCTGGAGAGACCTATGAAAAGGATATGTGGAGAGGAGAGAGAGGCCCTGAGACCACAAGACAAAAGAAAAGCCTCTCGCCTCACTCCACCCCTGTGCCCTGACCCTGACAGCCCAGTCCTCCAGAGGACTCCAGCACCAGAGGCCCTCTAACAGCAATGGCATGAAAGAGACCTGATTCATTACCAGTCATGTAAGAAAATACATGTATAGGCGGGCGCGGTGGCTCACGTCTGTAATCTCAACACTTGGGGAGGCCAAAGCAGGTGGATCACAAGGTCAGGAGTTTGAGACCAGCCTGGCCAACATGGTGAAACCCCCTCTCTACTAAAAATACAAAAATTAGTCGGGCATGGTGGCAGGTGCCTGTAATCCCTGCTACTTGGGAGACTGAGGCAGGAGAATCACTTGAACCCAGGAGGTGGAGGTTGCAGTGGGCCAAGATCGTGCCATTGTACTCTAGCCTGGGCAACAGAGCAAGACTCTGTCTTAAAAAAAAAAAATTATAAACATATATTCTAAAGGACCTTGAAAACAGTTCCCATTTTCTCCAGATGCATTGATTTCAAAGTTTGGAACAGAAACAAAAATAATGTTAGTACTTAATTAAAAAAAAAACTCTATGTTACACAATACGGTTTCTTTACTTACAGCAACTGATTTTCTACTTTGATTAAAGAAAACACCTATTTCAGGTCAGGGTTCAACAGTGAAATTCCATTACTCAACTACACAAGAGACATGGCTAATTCATCACTATATTTTTCTCCATACCAATCCTATGTCCACACAGATCTTTCTTTGAAATGAATTTGGTGCTGATTACTAATGAAGACTGGCCTTCTCTGACTCATCATGAGTTTTAGAAAGTTCAGATAAGACGCATTCCTGTTTCTGGAAGTACATGAAACTGTGATAGTTTTACAATAACTTAGTATTAGAGTAGAAAAGAGATTTGGTAATAGAAAAGGAAAATCAAAGTGTTACATGATAAGCAACTCAGTTCACGGAGCTTTAGATTTATGCCCTAAAATCCACGAATAAAGCATTTACCTTTATTGAACCATTAGAAAGGAAAGAGACAGTTTGACTAACAAAAAAATGTATTCCACGTAAAAGTGTTGCGCCACTGGTGATTAGGGAAAAAAATAGGAGTGTGGCGTGACCATGGGGAAGCAAAAGAAAATGAGGAAGTATGCGCCCAGGAAGCGAATGCTTAGTCTCAGAGATCAGAGGCTTAAAGAAAAGCATAGATTAAAACCTAAAAATAAAGAAAAGAAGGATCCCAGCACATTAAAGGAAACTGAAGTTCCCCAACACCCTTCTTGCTTATTTTTCCAATATAATATACAGCTGGGCCCACTTTACCATGTCCTAGTTGATACCAGCTTTATCAACTTTTCCATAAAAGCCAAACTGGACTAATATAGTCAATGATGGACTATCTGTATGCCAAGTGTATCCCTTGTATAACTGATTGTGTAATGGCTGAAATTGGGAAATCGGGGCAGAAGTACTGAGTGGCTCTAAGGATGGCCAAGGATCCAAGATTTGAAAGGAACCTATGCAGATGACTGCTTAATGCAGAGGGTAACTCAGCATAAGTGTTACATTGTGGTCACAGTTGACTGGGACCTTAAAAGAAGAACCCATAAGATCCCTGGAGTTCCTATCAAGTACATTTCAAACTATAGATATAATACTTTGCCAGATGATTACAGAGCCCCTTGATTCTTTTGTTTGTTTATTTATTTATTTATTTACGAGACAGAGTCTCACTCTGTAGCTCAGGTTGGAGTGCAGTGGCATAATCTGGGCTCACTGCAACCTCCACCTCCTGGGTTCAAGCGATTCTCCTGCCTCAGCCTCCCAAGTAGCTGGGACTACAGGCATGTGCCACCACATCTGACTAATCTTTTGTATTTTTAGGTAGAGACACGGTTTCACTGTGTCAGCCAGGCTGGTCTTAATCTCCTGACCTTGTGATCCGCCAGCCTTGGCCTCCCAAAGTGCTGGGATGATAGGCGTGAGTCACCACTCCTGGCCAGAGCCCCTCAATTCTAATTCTTACAAGACACAGTTCCTCTGCCTTTCTTCGACCAGCTTTCTCTTGTTGACAGTTCATTACAAAGGCAACAGCATGAATTGTTATTCTGTTGACCCGTTTGCTCTATTACAAGCTGAGGATGCTTAAATATGCTTTTTTTTTTTTTCCCAAGACGAAGTTTCGCTCTTGTTCTCTTGTTGCCCAGGCTGGAGTGCAGTGTTGTGGGCTCAGCTCATTGTGGCCTCTGCCTCCCAAGTTCAGGTGGTTCTCCTGCCTCAGCCTCCCAAGTGGCTGGAATTGCAGACACATGCTACTGCGTCCAGCTAATTTTTATTTTTGTGTTTTTAGTACAGAAAAATATGCCTTGGCATCCTAAAGTGCTGGGATTGCAGGCATTAGCCACCATGCCTGGCCTGCTCACTTTTTGATGCTATTTTGAAATTGATATTTTGTCTCATAAAAATTTTAGGCCAGGTGGCTCACACCTGTGTTCTCGGAACTTTGGGAAGCTGAGGTGGATGGATCACCTGAGGCCAGGAGTTTGAGACCAGCCTGGACAACATGACAAAACCCCATCTCTACTAAAAACACAAAAAAGGTTGGCCAGTGTGGTGTCACGTGCCTGTGGTCCCGGATGCAGGGGAGGCTGAGGCAGGAGAGTCGCTTAAACCTGGGAGGGCAGAGGTTGCTTGAGCTGAGATTGTGCCATTGCA